TTTTCAATTATATTAGAGTATATTTTGAATTATGAAATGCATTTGCACAATTATCATCTCATTTTGCGCATCTTCATACTGCATTACACTACATTAATAATACATTTGCATTATATTACTGCAATTTACTTTAATAATCATGAAACCGTAAGATTTTCAATCGATTATAATAATTTCAATCGAATAACATACCCGTTGTTACGTGTGGCTACCATACCGTGGCTACGTGTAACCCTTTGTTAATTCTGAAGCATCAATTCGTCAGAAATTTGATTTTACGCAACGATTATTATCGTCATCATCATTGCTGCTGTCATTATCATCCTTACAATATCATTCCATGAACGGATCGAAGATCACGATGTCACGGCCAGACGATGCGCGTCATGCGAAATTGAATATCGATTAATCGCCCTCAAGATTCGCTAATGTTGCGCCGGAAGTTAATTAAGCTGCGGTAATTGCGATCTCTCTTGAAGGATACTCACCCGGCTTTCCACGAGTTATATCGCCTTAACGCTATCGAATTGCATCATTAATTTCTCACATTATCTAAAATTAGGAGTAATATTCATTATTATGGTATGGTTTTACTTAAAAAATACCCTTTGTCTCCTTCTCTCTACGATTAAAAAAATGTCCTATTATTACATCAGATCCATTTAAATTAACCAGATACTACAGTTCATTGTCCCTGTAGATTCTTAAATTCTTAAGAGATGAGTCTTTATTATATTGGACATGTAAAATGAGAAAGTCTCGATATGTAAAGAATTAATGCAGCTGTCTCGTATGCGGTAATTTCGTAATTTTATCAAGATTCAGTTATTCCATTCGGAATAAAGAAAATTGACGCGCAGCGATCTCGATCTCTCGTCTACCCCTATTGAGTTTTCCCCGGCCTTTTTTCCCTTTCGGCTTTCTCTCCCGACTTCCGCTATTGTTCTTCGCGGCCGGCGTCGCGGCACCTTTCATCGACGCCCTTTTGTTCGCCCGCCAATAACGCTACGATAACGAGTCAATCGTATCATGGAGAATCGAAAGGTGTCAGCTCGGGAATTGCATTGGCGGGAATCGAGGAATCGATAGTCAGGTAAACCGCTTTCCCTCCTTTTCTCCTCCCTCGCGATGCACGTATTGTAAACAATTTGCGCAATTTCATGTGATTAATTGCAGATGCTTAAGAACTCAATGTTCGCGGGCTCTTAAATGGAAAATTTATGTACAATGAAGTACGGCAGAGCAGGTTGGTGCGAGAGAGAGAGAGAGAGAGAGAGAGAGATCTAATTCATCATTTAAAATATTTCATGAAAACCGATCTTAAAAAAGTAAACGTCACCCATTATTTTTATGTTGCTCGATCGCGTTACTTTTATATGTTACCCTTTTTCGCGGGATTAAAAGCAAGGTTTAATTTCGTATATTAAATTCGGAGATTTGGAACTAATTTAGAATTAATCCAGCAAACAGGAATTCTGTTTGAATACCAAACGCAGCATGCGGCGTTTCGCAAAGGAAAATATTTATTTAAATAAATTCGTATATATGAAAATGTATAGGTACAACACGAGCGCGCCATCCGTTTTCTGCGTTTATCATCTCGTGGAGGAATATTCAGTTCGCCGCAAATACGCTTTCTGTTGTCAACTGGCGAAATAGCACGAATAGTGTGAATAACGGTGATAATTTTGGCGGGAGAAATTAGTGAACGGGAGGGAGAGAGGGAGGAAGAGAGAGAACAGGGAGCGATAGATAGAGTTCGCAAATGGCTACCATAAAAGCGTGCTAATGGTTTAACGTTTATTCGCAAAAATACTTCATGCTTTATCGGCATGCATTTCCTTTTCCCTTCACTCGACCTTCTCTTTTCGGTGGAATGCGCGCGGATCACACTTTATAAATAAATTCCGTAATAAACGCAATTTGCGGACATGCACCACTGGTAATTGTTGCGAAGGCGCATCGCATTAATAACCGTAATAATGATAATAACAATAGCAGCCTCTCCGAGCGCAGAACTCGTAATTGTAGAGTTGTTAATAAATTAATTTTTAAAAAATAAAATAATAACTGAATAATAGTAATAAACAGTTTAATATTGAAATATGTTACTCGAATGAGAAATTGGTAATATCAACGAATTAGCATTAGAGAAAAATAACATTAAAAACTTGATTTAATCATTCGAGTAAAATAACAAAATATACGTGTTAAATTCCTTTTATAAAGAGCTATACTTATATCGCAATATGCTAGCGGAATTAAATAATAAATCGCAGATTTAACAAATTTACAGAATATTTTATCTGAAAAAGCAAAACAATGTTGTTTGAAAAAAACCATTAATATGAGATGAGATAATTATTTTGTTTCTTAATGATTTCTGACTTTCCGTATATTTCTTAATTTACGTACCAACAATTTAAACTCTTATCCTTCTATTATCCAGTTCTTTTATTGTCATCGTAAAATTGTATTTAAAATCAAATTTTACGATTATATTTTAATTCTTCTTGTATTCATATTTTAGTTTTACATTCCTCCCGATTTATTTTTGATTTTTCATTATCTTGTATTCACGTTTGAACATATTCGAACAATTGTCGCTGGCATGTAATATTTGCTAAATTTATCAAACAGTAAACGATTTGATAAAAATGGAACAGGAGCAAATGTCGGTACGTGATCGACGAAAAGTCGTCAGCCGACAACGAACGAATAACTGAATAAATAAAAAAGAAAGAGCAGAATGTCAAACTATAGGCATTTTAAATAACAAAGGGTCGGTGCCCGACATCCTAATTGCGGCGCCATTTTTTTTTTCGATACATGCGGCCGTTTAGGACGATGTCCTTTTTATTCTGCAGTACGCGTGTTTCGGACGTGCCTCTGCTTTTCGATTTTCGTGCGTGATCGATTTTCGGCCATTCCGCCAACTATTTTTCCGATGTGACGCGCTGCGACGCGTTGTGAAAACGTTCAGCGCGACGAACGCCGTTCACGCATTTCGCAATCGCAGCTCCAGTGAAATGGTAAAAGTGTATAATTATTCTTCCATGTAATTTTCGATCATTTTTCTTTTAGTTATATTATATGAGGAAGCGGATCGCGCGTGATATGAGTAAAATCGCGTGTGCTACAATTTATGGACGCAAATAAATTAGAAAAGAATTATTTGCGCAACGAACGTGTGTCAGCAATTGTTCAGCATATATACAGAATATCGTGAAACATAAGAATCAGTGATGAAGAAATATTCATTGTTAGCTGATTTTTTCTCCTGTACAAATACGTGAATAAATAAAGAAAGACTAAAGGCGCGTTAAAACATTTCCGTGTTTATTTAGACAACAAAGTTTATTTCTACAGCTAAGCGTTTTTATTATTGGCTAATTAACTTTCAGTATTCACACCGACGAATACGGAATAAAGGCGGCAATAGCGTTTGTTACCCGAAGGCGTGTCCCTACCTTTTACTCGTTTTCCCCGGAAGCTTTTTCGCCGCTTAACATCGCGTTATCAGACGGAAGGATTACCTTGTAATATATTTGGGCGTTTAAAGGCAACGGACATAGGTAACTTGGTGAAATACCGCGGACGGAATGAGAAACCATAACAAAATGCGGCGAAAAAGATGCACCCAAAATGCATACAGAGCGACGCGCTTTAAATTATGTACATTTTACGTCTCTTCTCTCTTTTTCTTTCTTCTTTTTTCTCCCAAATTACCATACTGACGCTTGAATATCTTGGTAAATTAGTCGTAAAATTCATCAACACCGATATTTTTAGATTCGAAAGATTCGCGTATTAAAAAAAAGGTACGCATCTATGTACATATCGCCATACTGACGATACGATCAAAGTAATTGGCAATCTCCCATTAAAACGCAACCATTTTATCAAATGTTTCGCAACGGAAAGTTTTGCCGTTTCGTCCTTTTTGCCGAGAAATCGCACGTTTAAACTGCAGCTAATGGAGCATTTATTGACCGAAATGCTCCTCGTAGGACGAATTCGATTAAAGTTCGACGCGATTCGATTACCAGGAGATTCGTTTTGTCGGCTCTCTGCTGGCACCGTTTCTGAAAATCTTCGGAACCTCCGTCGGAAAACCTCGGAAATTCACGCGGATATATTCATGCGATCGTAGAAATGTAATTTATGACGCCCGTGGCGTGTATAAAATCGATTATTGCAAAAACGTTGAAGATTGTACCAGTCTTTTTGTAAAACAGTACATTTTCTACAATAGGATCGGGAAGTGACAGGAGCGTTATCAAGAGACTAACATTTTCTTCGTTTACTAGGATTTCAACGATTTTTCCACAAAAAATTTTACAAAAAGAATCGTTATATATGTATCACATACGTAAGAGAATTTCGCGAATATTCTAAAAAAATGATTTCTTCCTCTAAATTCTCATTTCATTTCAATTATATAAAAGTGAAGAAAACCCGTTATTGAATATTTTCTTATTCACTTTTATACGATATACAATTTCACAGATATAATGAAGTACATTGAATTACGTAACTGAAATTTATATCATGCACGTTAATAGTAAATGTTATTTAGTTCTCTTTTGGAGAACCCTGTAGTTCAAATTACACGCTCTGGTAATCGTCAATCGATTCGCCATTCGTGCCCAATCACCGCAACATATAGATCGTGAAATAACATTTCGAATATTTCGGTCGGACGTGAATTTGTGAATGTTTTTCACGCTTGCATTTCACCTTTTATATCGCGTGATCGTTAGTAAACAATATTATATCAATTTAATTGTCACTTGCGTGCTGATACAAAATCATAAAGTTAAGTACCTCATCCTGTGTGCCCCATATAATGTATGGGGTTAATTGCGTTAAATAAATAATTATGAACTCTACGGTGTGAACTCTAATGAACAAAAAACTATGTAATATATTGAATAATAATAACATTGTTTATTGCCGACTGTTTATCTAATATAAATTGCTTTTATTATATGTTTCAGGGACTACTACTATGACAGGTGAATGTCTCGAATTTTACTCCAATATGCAGGTATCATAATATTAATTAATTAATTGCGATGCCATGCAACGATTGGTATTGAGAAAATATGCTGCAGTTTGAAGTAACACCTGACAGGCTAACAAATAGCGTTTAAGAATAAAATTTGCCTTAGCACTCATCGAAATTCATGCCTTTCTTCCAACTCGCGGTCTTTTTCCCAACTTATCTCAATAAAAAGCTTAAAGTTTTTTTTTATTAGCCATACGCAGTCATATAGGCGAAACGTGTTTACGCTTCTTTGTCCCTGATATCTCCTCAACACGTGCTCCGGCTAATTCAACGTCGAGTCAACAATAAGCGGCGCCCGGACGGACGCGTTTCGCGCGAGTTGCATGTCCAAAGCCCGCTACCGCGCGAATGTAAACGCATTCGAACAAAATAAGGGAGGAGGAACAAACGCCGGCGCTATAGACCTCGGACACCGTCGCACGGTGGCGGTCGTCGCAACAAAAAAAAAAAAAAAAAAAAAACAGAAAAAAAAGAAAGGTTCGCCGCGCTCAGCGGAATGCGTCCCGGGGTGCATTCATATTTTTGCCCTTTTTAATCGCGTGCGTTTCAGACGCGGAACGGGGGCGCGGGCTTTTATTGCAGTGTCCACCGACACGATGCGACATCGCCAGCACGCTCCGCTCCGCTCGGCTCGGCGCGACGCGTCGTGCTCTCCATGCCGGTCACGGAGACGCCTCTGAATAGTCACAATTAAAACGAAAGCGAAGACGCAATGCAATGCCGCGCGACGTTGCTTTCCTCTCTTTCCCTTTAAGTTCTGTTTGCTTTTTTTTTCCGTAATCCTCAACGGAGACCAAATGGGATAGGACGCAACGGTCGTTGATGCACGAGCATCACTTCGCATCGAGAGACGCGGCGGGGACGCTCAATGACGCATTTTGCAGAGTCGTTCTTTTATTATTGCTCATTTCACTGCGCCGTGTCAATGAGAAGGAGAGAGAGAGAGAGAGAGAAAAAGCGGAGCCAGTTTATTGTATAATTTTTAAGAGGAATATCCCAGGACACGAAACACAGGGCTATAATAATAGAAGGGGATTGACGCTCGGATGAGAAGAGAATTTATAATTCGAAATCTCGAATCTATCACGAGGATTCGCACGAGTGACGCACCGCACGCATGGGACAATTCGATTAACACGTGGATACAACGCCAGCTGTAATGCCCATACCAGGTGGATATTGGGTTAATTAGAGACGGCTGTCCCTCGAGATTCATCATCAGGCGACATCGCACACAATGAATTATTAGAATCAAGATTCGCACGATTCGCTGTCGCTCGAACTGTGACTTTTTTGTGATCAAATTATTATCGGTTTTCAATTCCGCGAAGAGCTCTTGCGAGCTCTTGGCGTCTCATCGAGGGTACCGTATCACTAGGGGACAGTATCACTAAAAAAAAAATCCATTGAATGGATTTTTTTAAATTAACAACTCTTCCTTTTTATGAAAATACTTTCGAAACAATTTTTTAATCTATAACGTTTTATGTGTCACATTTTTGTGGTACAGTTGTTTAATTTCTAGAAAATAAATGCATGAGTGGAAAGTATACAAAAAATTATATCTTTTATTATGTCTTATAAATTAAATTCCAAATTTGTATTAATTATTTTAAAATGCTAACTATAGGATTATATCATATACAAAAAAATAATGTGCGGAACAATTATTAACATCTTACAACTGCGCGATATGTCTTCCGCGTTTGCATAATATATTGTTCATTACAAGTAATTATTATTACCAAAGGCGTGCCACCGTGGATTGGCTCGTAATTTGAACAAATGCAAAGTGTCATTCGGTCGAATGTGCACAAAAAGCTGCCGCTGGGCTAAATTAATAATTACTATTTACGGTTATATGAGCGTAATGAATAATTATGGATTATCGACTGAGAATAACAATTTGCGACTCATTGCGCACAAATGAGGTTAATTTCGTTGCGGTGGAATGTATCAGCATTTATTTATTCTCCTATATCTCTGCAATAAGCAAGGGACCATCGTCTCTCTATTGAAAAAAGTTATTTATTACGTGACTTTTGGTGCCTTGAAGATACTACATCCATATAAATTGTATTAAGAATACTTTTCTATCTTATCAGACTGTTATCTAAATATGTATATAAAATTTCTTTCCTCAAATCGGCAATTTTCTTAAGAAACACGGCTCATCTTGTATGTACGTTCGTTTTATCGTACAACCGCCATAAATTGTCAATTTTATTTTTGACTTTACCAGTGGCGTTCCGTTATTGCAACATAAAGTTTGCAGGAGCATAGTATGAAGTTTGTATGGTAGGAAAGGCGGTCAATAAGGAAGAAGGGGAAGATGCCAGTCCTAAATCCGGCGATGGCAATGGAGAACGAGAAGTACCGAAGCTTACTGTACTTCTCGATTATTGGCAGTATCTTGATTAACGTTATGTACAATTCAAACATTAGATAAAATTATTTTGGTTTCCTGATAATTACAACGACTGAAAGTTTTAATAATTAATACAAAGAGCTTCCTTTATATAGATTTATTCGCTTACAGCGTAAGATTTCGTTCTGCATAATAAAATACATTTACAATAATAATATGCATAAATGAGAAATGTTTTTCAATAATTTAACAGGTCACTTAATATGCTTGAAGGTAGGGACAAATTTGTGATATGATATTATGATACACGAATTATATTGTCGTATCAAGTAGCATCATCAATGATAACGACACTGAAGCAGCTAGTACCGAGATGTATAATATCCACCACTATTAACAAGTACCAGCCGACATTATTAGTCGTATGTAATCACGATAGAAACACGGTACCATGTAATTGCCTTTATTAACAAACAACAATAGAGGGAGATACATCGTGATAATATTAGTGTACACGTCACATATACGTCGATAATACACGTATGACCAATACAAAAATCACCGTGAAATTACCTATAACTATAACTTACCTATAAATTACCTATGTTACTTAAAGTTTATATTACATGTCCATATTATTATCCTTCTGATCTCACATTTCGTGAAATAACTATCTTTATTTTCACGCACGCATGAAGCGAAAACATAAACGTTAGTATGGTGTTTCTAAACATACCGTGTTAAATATACCGTATTGAATGCAACTGTCTCAGTTTTCTACAGCTATTCTTTTTTCGCCTAATAAAATCTATTATTACATATATATACAATAGATGATATATGGCGGGATTACGAGAAGTGAAAACGATTTAGCCGCATTTCGCGAGGTATGATCAATCTGTGGAAAAAGAGGGCGGGTTAAGGTGTTGCGACTCTCGTTTGTCGTCCTTCCAAATTAGAGGATAGCCATGTAACGCGACGCCAAGTAGTCTGAAACTGGCTGTTAAACCAATGCAAATTAGCGGAAGACTCGCGTACCTCGGAGTTTGTCCCTTCTAATTACGCGCGGGAACCAGCGAGAAAGGCTTAACCGGGTTCGCCGGGAATTAGTTGTCACCCGGTAGATGCGGGACTGCGCGAAGAACAAGAACGCCGTTATACCTGCGCGGTTTTGCGCCGAGCAATAATTGCACGTACAACTGCAGCCCGTGATCGATTTCGGCGATAAGATGCAGACGCGGTTATTTATGCCTTACAACGGTCTTGTTAAACTGATTATAAGCGAGAAGGGCACATATACAATTGTTCTATCGCTAAATTTCCAGCGATCTCTTTTTTGCGATGCGCCATGTTATATATTGCATGAAACTTTAATATGAAAATATAAATATGTATATTGTGTGTACGTGTACAGATGTATTAGAACAAATAGAATAGAGTCGCTTAGCTTCATACGTTGAACTTTTGTAACTTAAATGAAAACTGTTAAATGGTTATTGTATGCTTTCAAAGGACACTTGTATTAATAATATCCATAGTTTGCAATATTCATAAATATTAAGCGGTTTCCAATTGCAGTGAAAATTACAAAAGTTGATCCTTAAATTTCAAACCTTTAAAATGCATAGGGATTAATTTTCAATTTTCTTCTCGATATTCTTTTATTGTAAAATAGAAAGAAGGAGCGTATTATTTTTGTAAAAGTATTCATTAAAAACATCTTTTTTTTTCTCGGCACTTTTTTTCGCGGAAAATGCATTTAAATATTACATTACAACAAACATTAGCTTTTTGGAAATTATGAAGTTTGTTAAATCTCGTTCTTTATAATAATAACGTAATGGTTTTGAGATTGACATCGAGTTTATTTATGCATAGCACAATAATGCATGCGCTACATCATTTGTTTTCATATTGTTCAGGTTTTACTTTCATATTTAAAAGAGGTTATATCTTTTATGTATATACATATATACATACACAAACAAAAACGATTATCGCAAAATCATTTTTGCAGTCACATTGATTTTTCACTGTCCAATTGATTCTATTTATTAGCTTGCATAACTAGACTATAAATCGTATATAACTCGTTACAGTTTAAAGCGTCTATTGTGAATAGAATACAAAGAGACGCATACACACACACACACACACACAAAAAGACAGTACGTGTTCAAAGCTCATAAAATAGAACTTACTATTATCGATGTGTCAGTGATCGGATCGATTTATTTACTTGCGCATTGATATTTTATGCAACACAATAGTTATTGTAATAAAGAAGAATAAAAAAAACAAAGAAGTTAAAGAAGTATAAAGGAGACAAACTGAGAATCGAGATAAGAAAGAAAGTTAAAAATAAGGAAAATATAAGATTAATTATATAGGAAAAAGTTTAAGAAATAGGAAAAATAAAAAGTCAAGAATAGAGAAAAAGTGGAAAAGTTAAAGATAGAGAAATAAAAAATAGCATATAGAGAACATTTTTAAAGAAGCTTAACACAAACGTTGTGATTACTTTTTCGTTTTTTTTTTTTTTTAATAAATACAGTAAAATTACACAACATTGTCAACCA